TGTCCCACTCTGTCTCCCTCTTTCCCTGTACCATTCTCTCTCCCTGTACCATTCTCTCTCCCTGTCGCACTCTCCCTCTCCCCCTCCCTGTCCCACTCTCTCTCTCCCCCTCCCTGTCCCACTCTGTCTCCCTCTTTCCCTGTACCATTCTCTCTCCCTGTACCATTCTCTCTCCCTGTCGCACTCTCCCTCTCCCTGTCCCACTCTCTCACACTCTGCCTCTCCCTTCCCACTCTGCCTGTCCCACTCTCTGCCTCTCCCACGTTCTCCCTCTCCCTGTCCCACTCTCTCCCTCTCCCTCTCCCTTTCTCTGTCGCACTCTCTGCCTCTCCCTGTCCTAGTCCCACTCTCTCCCTCCCTCTCCCTGTCCCACTCTCTGCCTCTCCCTCTCCCTGTCCCACGTTCTCCCTCTCCCTCTCTCTGTCGCAGTCCCTCTCTCCCTGTCCCAGTCCCACTCTCTCTCTCTCTCTCCCCGTCCCTGTCTCCCACTCTGCCTGTCTCACTCTCTCCCTCTCCCTGTCCCAACTTTCACACGTTCTCCCTGTCCCTGTCCCACTCTCACACTCTCCCAATCTCTCCCTGGCCCACTCTCTGCCTCTCCCTATCCCATTCTCTCCCTTTCTCTCTGATCATCTATGTCTCTCTCCGTCTCCCCTCTCTCCCTCCCTGTTCTCTATATGGGGATGATGTCTGTTTCCCCGGCTCTCTGCCGGTTGTCAGTCCCGGGCACATAGCCCTTGTCTCGGATGAGTCTCAGTGAGAAGCGAAGAGGCCCCAAGAGCAGCGCAGCTCAAGCTCCGCGGCACCGAAAGCGAGGGAAGTCGGGCCGGAGAGAGCTGGACCCGGGGTCTGTCCGACAGAGGGGCCGCTGAAAGCGGTTCTTACCTGGAGGCAGAGAGTGGGTCCAGTCGGGGCTGGAAAACCGCGGGATGATCATCGCAGCCACCGAGCGGCGGCTCACACTGAGCCCCTTAATGGGGGTGGAGTGAAAGGGTGAGGAGGGGGTAGGGACAGTACAGGGGGAGGGAAAGTGAGAGCCAGTGAGAGAGAGGACAGAACAGATAGAGGGGAGACAGAGGGAGCGAGGAGCAGGGCAACAGGAAGAGACAGAGGGAACTGCGAGACAGACAGAGACAGCGATGCAGAGGGATGTCAAGGGTTATGGGGGTAGGCGGGACTGTGGGGTCATCAAATCAAATA